GGCGTGTCGCTCGTGAAACGCATGCTCGCGAAGACGACGAGGTTGGTGGATCGGGCCCTTCCGTGGATGCAGCTGCCGTCGGTGCCGGACATTTTCAGGCCGTTCGGGGTCCACTTCTTGTACGGGCTCGGAGGGGAGGGCCCACTCGCGGCGAAGTTCGTGAAGGCGCTGTGCGGCCACGCGCACAACTTGGCGAAAGAGCGCGGGTGCGGGGTTGTGGCGACGGAGGTGTCGAGCCGGGAGCCGCTTAGGTTAGGAATCCCGCACTGGAAGAGTCTGTCGTGCGCCGAGGATTTGTGGTGCATCAAGCGGCTAGGGGAAGACTACGGTGACGGCTCTGTCGGTGACTGGACTAAGTCGCCACCCGGCATGTCTATTTTTGTCGACCCCAGAGAAATATAATTCCGTAAAGAATCCAAATTAGTTTCCAACTTTTATCCTTTTATTTTTTTTTTTCAATTTTATTTTGGGTTTTAAATTTTGGGGTTGCCATTGTAACATCCCTGTGGCCCTAGGTCGGTAGACTAAGCAAATGTTGGGGGTGGGAATAGAAGAGATGAAGGAAGAGGAAAGGATACGGGGTTTTTTTGAGTTGTAAAATGGAATATGCAATCCCCTCAACTTTGTATTTTCCTTTTGTTAGCCAATGTATCTTTTTTGTAAATTGATGTGGCTTTTTAGATCCTCTTCTGGCCAAACGCAGCCTTTGGTTTCTTGTGGGGTTCATTTATCTTTTCTGGGTTTTGCTTTACCAACTTTCCAAAACAACAATTCTCTTCAATCTCCAAAAATGCGATTCAGAACAGAATTGATTTCGACACACTTTATTCTTATTTTTTGTTATCGTTAAATCAAATAAAATAAAAAAATTAACGAGTAAAAACAAAGTGTGCATAAAGAGAAAATCCAAAAGTGGGGTAGAGTCGTTTATCAACGAGGAAATCTTAGGCTATGTGACCCTTGTTGGAATATCCCTCTTCAATTTGTGCATGCAAAAGAAAAATTGGGAAAGCATATAAGCATAACTAAAGCTTTTTCCCAAATCACTTTTGGAGAGTTGATTATACCATATCATTTGTCCTTGATTATATGCTAGGTAGGAGAAGGGGGTCCTTTTTCCTAATTCTCTTTTTCGTTAATTATGTTCTAAATTATTTAGTATCTTTCCGGTTAAGGGTAGTGGGAATATTATCAACATTGTGATATTGACTAGACTCTAAATTTATGGGACGTATTAGTACTAATGTCACATTCATATTCACTTGTATGACAAGATGCACATATCATATAACTTAACAAACATTTATATATAAATAGGGACGAATTCATGGACCATTTTTTTACTTAACTGTTGATGTAGGTTTTTGTGGGATCCACTTTGTAATATATTTTAATGATCCAAACTATTCATCTTTTAGGCCTTCCCCCAAAGATCATGTCTACAAACAATCACTCAAATTTAAATCCATATGATCGTTGGATTAAGGGTGAGTTTCTTGGTAGAACCGTATTCATACACTTTTTTCATTGCAAATGAATGTCTTAATGGTTTTCGGTTTGTCTAATTTTATGCAAGGATAAACATGAATGATGTACTAAAAAATAGGTGATTAGGATCGATAACCTACATTACGAAGTAGGACCCACAAAAACATGTACAAAATTGTGTAAAAAAATAGTGCCACCAATTCGTCCCTATATAAATAAATAAAATAATATATATATATATATATATATATTAAGCTAGCAGGCTTTTGAACAGTGATTTTTGGTGTCACATGCTTCACCAAAAAAAAATTGGACATAAATGCCCCTCAAACAAAAAACTTGAAAAGCAGTCCAAAATAATGCATCAAATGTGGCAAGGGTATTTTCGTCAATTTAACAGTGTTTTTAATAATTAATTTTTGTGTGCAGTTTTTTATTTATTTATTAGTATCTCACAATAGGCTAGCAATAATGTGATTCAATCAGTTGTTCATTAAATATTATTTTCTCTATTTTTAAATACGTTCAAAATATTTTAAGAGGCGTGTAATGCAGGGTTATAAAAAGTATTTTGCACGCGCATAATAATGTACTTAAATTAGTTGTCAAATGATTTTTTTTTTTTAACAAACAATATTATTTGACTTTCCTTTAGTCAATTCACGCATATAAATACATTTAAAATGTGTAAATCACACGTAGCATGCCGCAATTCAAAAAATATCTTATGTACCCGTGTGAGCACGTGCATGAAAGCTAGTGTATATATATGATTAGTACCGTAGTAGTAATAGTAGTACACTAGTCTATGTGCGGATGAACTTTCAACTTTGTGGTTCGGTGGTGTCGGGGAATTCTTTTTTCTTTCTTTTGGGTTGGTGGTTGTATTTGCTTTTGCATAATGATGATGATGAAACCGATGTTTACTTGCTACGTGGGTTTTGCATATTTGCACCAAAAAGAACGAGAGCAATGCAAGCTACATATAAATGGAGAAAGGTAAAAAGAAAGTTTTCTCTAGGTCACCGTCACCTTATGTAACCAATTCATTCATGTTAGCACGTGGGTTTATTTATAGATATTGTAGCTTAAAACGTAAATATGATTTGTATGCTTATATTATAACACATGAACTAAAAACTCTACATAATGGTGTGAGAGCTAAATTTTTTGCAAAGTACGATCAAGTGGTGTGTGTGAGTGTTTCTTTTTCTGTTCTTGTTCCTCGTCCTTTCCTCCATAAGCATTAAGCAGCCATCGCTTTACCTTCTCGTTATGGTGCTTCTCATTTGGACTTTGGGACATCTTGGTGGGTGCATATTATGCCTTGGATTAGGACGTTTTCTATTGAAACTTCAATTATTGCTGGAGTTTTGAGACTCCTAGTGTCCCACATTGGGGAACTTTTAGTTCCCATCACCATTTATATAGTTCTAGTCCTTTGTCCTCGTAATTAGAACTTGGACAATTTGAAAATGGATTGAAGGCTTGGGTCTTATGGTTGTGTGGATTAGGTTTGTATAAATTAGCTTAATACAATTAATATTAATTAATCAAGACAAGGGCCTTGGGGCACTTGGGGCCTAGGAAGTAAAAATTAATCCAAGTTCATTAATTTTAATTTCGGATTAAGTTTTTTAATTAACATATTAATTAAGAAATGTTTGATTAAGAGACACGGCTCTTACAAAGAGTTATGTGTTTTCAAATACACTCAACAGGTAATTGAAAAGGTATGAAACAACCTATATATTTGCAACCACAATTTCCAAATAGGATCATCTTTTTCTTCCTCTTTCTCTTCCGCACAAAAATTTCCAGAGAGTAAACACACAAAACAATTCGCTAGAATTCTATAATCTAGTGCGGGTTATAGAATTAGGTAGTTGTACCCTAGTCAAGCAGACGTTGTAGAACTACAAGCACAAGAGTGGGACGAAAATACTGTTCGAATGACATAACTTTTGTGCTAGCCTCTACCTGTGGTTAATCAAGTTAGTATCAATTTAATTATTGTATTTATTCATGTTATTTCATTCTGTATAGCAAGTATTTTTTGTCAATAAAGTATTTCAAGTTCTGTTATTTCTATTATTTTTATTTATTTCTGAATTGTTCTCCAACAATCTTCGAACAGTATGGAACAATCAAGAACTAAACCTTATTCTGAAAAGCCAGAGAAAAGGGTGGAGACTTCAAAAGATGGCATGAGAAAACGTTGTTTTACTTGACAACTTTGAATCTGGCTAATGTCATGCGTGAGACTGTGCCTAGTGCAAAAGGATATGATATTCATGTAGAAATTTTGAGGGCTATAGATGCCTGGAATCATAATGATTTCCTCCACATAAATTATATATTCTCAATGCAAGATGATTTGTTGTATGATGTCTATGTGGTATGCAAGACACACAAGGAACTTTGGGAATCACTTGAGAAAAAATATAAAACCGAGGATGCTGGTTCAAAGAAATGTGTCGTAGGCAAATTTTTGGACTACAAAATGGTGGATTCCAAGTCTGTTGTCTCTCAAACCAAAGATCTTCAGAAAATCATCCATGACATTCATGTTGAAGGGATGGTGATCAATGAGTCTTTTCAAGTGGTGTCTTTCATAGAGAAATTGTCACCTTCTTGGAAGGAGTTCAAGAATTATCTCAAGCACAAACGTAAGGAGATGACCCTCGAAGATCTTATTGTAAGGCTGAGGAAGATAACAGAAAAAATGAGAAGGGCTTGGTTTCGAGTATGGAAGCCAAGGCGAATGTTGTCGAAGGAAGTTTATCAAAGTAAAGGCCGAAATTCCAGAAAACTAAGAAGGAAAAGAACTTTTTCACTGGTGTGAAAGGCAAAGACTTTAAGAAAATTAAGGGAAGTTGCTGGGTTTGTGGAAAGCAAGGCCATAGGGCTCAAGATTGTCGCCATCGAAGGGATCAAGGTCCTGGAAATCAAGGCAACAACAACAGTGCAAACCATGCTGATTGGTGGATAGATACCGGTGCAACTCGCCATGTATATGGTGATAGAAACATGTTCTCTTCATACCAGAAAGTCGAGGGGAACGAGCAGTTGTTCATAGGAAATGCTTCTGCATCTGTTATGGCTGGAATAGAGAAATGTGTTCTGAAATTCACTTCTGGAAAGGAATTAACCCTCCTTGATGTGTTGCATTGATGCGAAAATTAACTTAACACACAAATTAAACCCTCTTGTTGTCAAATTGTAGTATAAATGCAAGTAGGGATCGTTCTAAACCGGGGATTAGGAGGGCTTGTTAAAACCTCTAAACTTACTTAAAATATATAAACAAAGTTAAAAACACTAAACTAGACTCAAAGAATTCAAAACAAACTCAAAGAACTCAAAACAAGCTAATCAAATCTGCCTAAAAACACAAACTGGGTAGATTTGGACTCTAAACACACTTTTGGGCGAATTTTGGTTTCAACTTGGTTCAAAATACTTAAAAGCACAAACTAAATCAGTTTCTAACTAATATGACTCAACAAGGTAAAGGGGGTTTTGGTTTTGATGAATTTGAAAACAAAACAAGTAAATTAAAGAACTAATGAAATCTGCACGAATTTGAGTAAATTGAATGGATGGACGGCTAACTATGAGGTTCTTCTCCACACATGACACACTTGCAAACAAAACAAATTCCAGTTGCTTTTAATAAAAACTACAAATTCTCAACGCCCTAGATTAACTGTGAATTGCAATAATTAACCCTTAGATTTTCCTAATTTCATTAAATTGAATGATTGCATACAACAACCCAAAGCATTCCCCACAAGTTCCCTACATGAATTGCATAATAGAGATACAAGAAAGAATCATTAAGTTCTATGAAAATCATAAGCATTGACGAAACACTTGTAACTATGAATTGCATGAAACTTATGCCAAGAATTTACTTAACACGGTTGTGACGAGCAACCTTCACTACTTGTGAATATAAGTTCATAACGATTAGGTGAAAGTCCCTTATATCCTAGCATTAGATTTATGCATGAAAATTAAGTGTGCACTCTCAACCAACATACACAAATCAGTTTTAATTCAAATGGATAAGTAAATTGAATTCACAACTTATGAATCACAACTGAAAGTAATCAAATCATATTGCAAGTATGAACATGGTTTTGAATTCCCCCCTAGCTAAAGGGGGTTTAGTTCCTCATACTCACAAAGCAAAGATAAACAAATTTAGACACAACAACAACAACAACAAAGCCTTTTCCCACTAAGTGGGGTCGACTATATGAATCCTAGAACGCCATTGCGCTCGGTTTTGTGTCATGTCCTCCGTTAGATCCAAGTACTCTAAGTCTTTTCTTAGGATCTCTTCCAAAGTTTTCCTAGGTCTTCTTAGAATACTTGGATCTACCCATTTTGTGTACGTGTTGATGCTTCACCGCCCAACATTTTGTGCCATACAGCATCGCCGGCCTTATTGCCGTCCTATAAAATTTTCCCTTGAGCTTCAGTGGCATACGGCGGTCACACAACACGCCGGATGCACTCTTCCACTTCATCCATCCAGCTTGTATTCTATGGTTGAAATCTCCATCTAATTCTCCGTTCTTTTGCAAGATAGATCCTAGGTAGCGAAAACGATCGCTCTTTGGTATTTCCTGATCTCCGATCCTCACCCCTAACTTATTTTGGCCTCCATTTGCACTGAACTTGCACTCCATATACTCTGTCTTTAATCGGCTTAGGCGAAGACCTTTAGATTCCAACACTTCTCTCCAAAGATTAAGCTTCGCATTTACCCCTCCTGAGTTTCATCTATCAACACTATATCATTTGCGAAAAGCATACACCAAGGAATATCATCTTGAATATGTCATGTTAACTTATCCATTACCAACGCAAAAAGGTAAGGACTTAAGGATTGTTGATGCACTATAAGTATGTAAATGGACAGAGACAGGAAAGCAAACACAAGATGTACGTGGTTCACCCAGATTGGCTACGTCCACGGAGTAGAGGAGTTCTCATTAATTGTGAAGGGTTTACACAAGTATATAGGTTCAAGCTCTCATTTAGTGAGAACAAGTGAATGATTTAGTACAAATGACATTAGGAAATATTGTGGGAGAATGATCTCGTAATCACGAAACTTCTAAGTACCGAAGTGTGGTATCGTCTTCACTTGCCTTATCTGTCTCATAGGTAGATGTGGCATCTTCTCTGGAAGTACTCTTCCTCCATCCAGTGGTGGTATCTTTAACTGGTGGAGATGCACAAGGTAATGTATCAATTTCACTTGAAGCTTAATTGTAGTTTCAGGCTTGGTCAAGCGCGATACAAACCATGTAGTAGGAGTCCCCCAAGTCGCCGAGCTAGGGGATCTGCTGAAAGAGGTGACAGACAAGGTAAGCAATCAAAGCTCCAAGTAATCAGTCCCAGATCAGAAGTTTGATTTCGAGTTCCGACTGATTGTGCTCGTTCTCCCTATCTTGCAGGCAGCATGAAGGATAAAGAGAAGAAAAAGGAGAATATATGATATGAGATACTTTTGCTTTTGAAGAAGTAACTTTCCACAGGCTTATTCTTGAACTGGGCTGGAGGGTTTTCTGGTTTCCTCCAGAGTATAAGGCTGACTGAAGAATTTGAGGGTCAAAACAAGTCCATCAAATCTATGGTACGTTCGACCCTGCTGATATGGGATACTTTTGCTGTTGACAAAGTAGTGGATGTATCGGCACGTGTTCTGTTACGCTTGTCTCCACATGCTTCCTTGTATCCTTCTCATTTTCCCTATCTGTTCCTCAGGCAGATGTGGTATCTTCTCTGGAAGCATAAGATGTTAAAGATGAGTACTCGAGAGCAATGCCAGGTAAGTAATTAGGTAAGGGGTTCCAGGCAGTCAGTTCTTGACTGGAAGCTTGATTCCAAGTGCTGACTGATTGCTCTCTTTCTCCTTGTCTTGCAGGTAAGAACAAGGCCAAAGGAAAAGACAAGGAAAAAGCATGATATGGGATACTCTTGCTTTTAACCCTGATGATATAAGATATTCTTGCTCTGGTGTAGCTTGTTTGCAGAGGTATTATCGGGGGGAAAGAAAGCTGAGTATTTCGAGAGGCTTCGTTGGGAGTGCCCTCTCAGATATGAAGAAGGGTTGAGCATTTTTGCAGGTCTGCCTATCCGTTGAGGATGAAGGTCGACATATATAGGAGTCTCCCTAACAACAAGTAGTAATGCTATTCCTTTACCCTGCTTGGTTATAGCACGGTAGTGGGAGCTGCCAACTTCACGTGTGTCAAAGCACTTTGAAAAAGTGGTCTGTGGTATCTGGAAAGCTGATGTTGCGTGTGAAGATTACAGACAAGCTTTATCCAAGGAGATCTGGCTCTCGAAGTTGAGAAAGCGGTGCCTCTTCGGTTTTCGAACAAGCAATCCTGTCGGGAATCTAGCTCTCGAGATTTGGAGAACGGTGCCTCTTCAATTTTTGAGAAAGCAATCCTGCTGAGAGTCTGGCTCTCGAGATTCGGAGAGCGGTGTCTCTTCGATTTTTGAGAAAGTAATCATGTTGGAAGTCTGGCTCTCGAGATTCGGAGGGCGCTACCTTTTCAATTTTGGAGCAAGCAATCTTGTTGGGAGTGTTTTCTCAAATGTGAGTAAAGGTGGGGCATGTTTGCTAGTCTACCTTGCCACGGAGCATAGAGGTTGACACACAGGGACTTTCTAATTATTCAGCAGTGGTGTTGTTCCTTTACCCTTGTGGGTAATAATATGGTAGCTAAACCTTCAAAATTTATGTGTCTAAACTTTGTTAGTGTTGTTTCTTTGCTATTCTTTTACCCTTCTTGGTCATAGCGATGTAGTGGGAGCTGCAAGCCTCACGTGTCTAAACTTTGTCAGAGATCTTTGGCAAAGTTATCTGTGGTACCCATGAGCTGATGGTGTGTGTGAAAAGTGGATGATTGAACAGTAAGATTCACATGCTTTCTACTTCACCAGAAATCTTCAACAGAATGCCCGTAATTTCAACAAAGCTGAGTGTGTATGTGACAGGTGCTGACAAGGCTGAAAAAAGCTGGTGCCTCTTCGATTTCTGAGATTGGCCCTCGTGGTCTCTGAGCAGCCCAGCTTTTGAGAAAGCAATCGCTTCTTCGATTTCTGAGATCGACCTTCGTGGTCTTTGAGCAGCCCAGCTTTTGAGAAAGTAAACGCCTCTTCGATTTCTGAGATCGGCCTTCGTGGTCTCTGAGCAGCCCAGCTTTTGAGAAAGCAAATGCCTCTTCGATTTCTGGGCAGGCGCCTCTTCGATTTCTAAAGCTCCGTCGAGTGTAAATTTTTATAGAGGTTGGCATTAAATTCCAAAGCACACTTGAATCTCCACCAGTAGAAGCTCCCTTCTTGCACTTCTAAGATCTTGATTTGTCCAACCTCTTTTCTCTTCAACACCTTTGAAAATGTCTGGCCCCTCCGACCGTCGTTTTGATTTGAACCTTGTTGAAGAGGCAGCCACGCCTTCTCCAGACAACATATGGCGCCCATCCTTCTTATCCCTTACAGGTCCTCTTACCGTTGGGGATTCCGTGATGAAGAATGATATGACCGCTGTGGTGGTGGCCAGGAACCTTCTCACTCCCAAAGATAACAGACTACTTTCCAAACAGTCTGATAAGTTGGATGTTAAGGATTCTCTGGCTCTGAGTGTTCAGTGTGCAGGTTTTGTGTCTAATATGGCCCAACGCCTATTTGCTTGAACCCGCCAAGTTGAATCATTGGCGGCTGAAGTGATGAGTCTCAAACAGGAGATTAGAGGGCTCAAGCATGAGAATAAACAGTTGCACTGGCTCGCACATGACTATGCTACAAACATGAAGAGGAAGCTTGACCAGATGAAGGAATCTGATGGTCAGGTTTTACTTGATCATCAGCAGTTTGTGGGTTTGTTCCAAAGACATTTATTGCCTTCGTCTTCTGAGGCTGTACCGCGTAATGAAGCTCCAAATGATCAACCTCCGATGCCTCCTCCTTCTAGGGTTCTGTTCAGTACTGAGGCTCTGAATGATCCCCCTCCGGTGCCTTCTCTTTCTGGGGCTCTACCGACTGCTAAGACTTTTCCTAAGCAACCTTTATGAAGGCTCCCTCTTGTTTGTTTATTTTGACTCATGTATATTTACATATTTGTAACTTATCGTAGATATCAATAA